CTCGCGTCTCTGAGGGCCTTCAGGGAATGGAAGGAACGTGGTGGTGAGGAAGAGAGGGTAGACTCGTTCATTGAGGGCATCTCAGAAGAAACGTCAAAACCCGAACCAGTTGTTGTAGACGACGGCAGTAGTAGTGACGACGATGCTCCACTGCTACAATCGCGCGCTCAGAAGCAAGATGAGCGATGGGGTTCGAAGCGTCTCCGCTCTCGCTCAAAAGCAGCGACCAGCTACGACGAGGAGTCAAACGAAGACTCTGCCTCTGAAGAAGATGTGTCAGATGAAGAGGAGCCATTCGTGCAAGGCCGGTGTCACACAGTAATCTTCCGCATCGATAACTTCCGTCCTCGCGAAGAGATCTTCAATGAAGCTGACTTTCTTGACGCGGAACCCAGCGGCGACGAAGAGTGGAACGGTAATGAGGATGACGACAACGATAACGGAGGCGGGTATGCGTGGTAACTAATGAGTGATTTTTTGGTGTTTCGGGTTTCAGACGCGGATGACGTCGTATGCAAACAGGAGTCAGTTTGGCATGTTTGCTCGGATCAAGACAGGAACTATGCATTAGGCAGGCGTTGATTTGGTTACTTATTCAGATATCCGTGTGTTAGTATTGGGCCTGAATCGGGCGCGGCAGAGAGGTTGGGCTCTGGCTTTTCTTGGTCGCCAGTAGCTGTCTCAGCCACATGTGGAATAAGGATGTTTTAGTCCATGTCCGAACGTGCCGTTGAGATGTGATTAGCTGTTTGTAGTAGCAATGTGGTCGCAGTAAGACGCAAGCCAGCTGAAAGAAACACATTCGCCTGCCGGACATGTGCGTCACTTTCCTGACTGCGCAAAGTGCACAGCCTCGCAGAGCGTCCCAGCATCCTGGCCAATCCCCACCATAACGCTAACAAGGACCACTCGCCCATTGCTGTTCGCACTCCTGTCATATAACCGCTGGCTGCGATGTATTGATATCCCCGGCCGCCTCTCCTCCCCTACTAACCAACTTTCTTATATCTCTTTCCCCTCTTCTATCGCATCCTCTCTCTTCCTTACCCCGCCATCGCCTCTCCACAAAACAACATGGCGGTACCCACACCTCCCATCCCGCCTGTGTCGCCGGACTCGGGCCCTACCGACCCTACCCTCCCCAAGCTTCCTGCTGGATGGATAGCGCAGTGGGATAACTCGTATGTTGAAGCCTACCATATGATGCTTTGGCCGCCCCGCCCTTGCACTCGTTGCCCCGCGACACGAAACTAACATACACGCCAGGTCACGAAAGTATTATTGTACGTAGCCTAGTCGGCTTGGTCGCGCCATATATACAACAACATCGCACATTCTAACCCTCCGCGACAGATGTCCAAATCAGCACCGGCGTCTCGCAATGGGAACTGCCCACCAGCGAAGCCCCCGTAGGCGGCTCCTCCAACCACAGCACCCCGGCGCAATCAACGAATCCATACAACGTACCCGGCACATCAGGTCCAGACGGCGCGGGCGATGGAACAAGAGGCATGGGCGACGGCCCGACTGGAGACAGGGCAGGCGGACTGGGTGTATGAGACACTCGACATACTTGGGCATCAATCGGGCATGCAGGCTGACAAAGGGCATACAGGGCTTTGCGATGAACGCGCTTATGGGAAACAAGCAGAGTGGTAGTGGAGGCCATGGCGGCGGCGGCTCGGGAAACCTCGTTGGCCAACTCGCGGGGAGTTTCTTGGGCAGTGGGAAACAACATGGCGGTTCTTCTGGCGGACACTCTGGTGGCGGTGGCGGTGCCGGCAACCTTGTTGGACAGCTTGCTAGCGGTCTGCTAGGTGGTGGGAAGCAGCACGGAAGTTCGTCTGGAGGTCAACATGGTGGCAGTTCTTCCGGAGGCGGGCTTGGAGGCATGCTTGGGAGCGTACTCGGTGGTGGTGGATCGGTACAATGCCCTCTACGTCATACGACTTGAGGAAATGCGCTGACAACATCTAGCACAACAAGCCAAACAACGGCGCTGGCGACTACGGCTACTCTGGTGCCTCTTCAGGCGGAACCTACACCGGCACCGCACCACCAACTTCCTACAACCACAGCGCTCAAGGCGGCCAATACGGCAGCGGTGCTCCGAGTCACGGACAACAATATGGCCAGGGTCAACCCCACGGCGGCTACGGCGGCTCACAACAACACACTCCCCAGCCACAGCACGGTGGCCAGCAACATGGCTATGGCTCGCAAGCTGGTTTCGGTGGTCAATCAGGATATGGTGGACCAGCACCAGGTTACGGTCAAGGACCACCACATGGGGGTCCACCAGGTGGCTATGGACAACAAGGTATGGACCAAATACGCGTGAGGGAAAGGATGCGCAAAACTGATATCTAGTGTAGCTGGCTACGGAGGCCCTGCTTATGGTGCACCAAGCGGTCCCTATGGCGGCCCTGGCAACTATGATCAACATCAGCACAACCAGTATGGTGGTGCTCCTACGCATGCTAACCAATATGGTGGTGGAGGCCAGCAGTATCCTCCTCCTCCTGGTCAGCACCAGGCTGGCTACGGTGGCCCTCCAGGTGGTCACCATACACCGCAGCCTGGTTGGCAGTAAACTCGTCGTATCCTGGTTTGCTGAGTCGTGCGCCGATACACGGACGAAGGATACACAAAACTTACGGTTGCGACAGAGTGAGGCCGCGATGCGAACAACAGGCGATGCTTGGTGGCTGAGGTTTTCGGAGGTTGCTAGAGATACCTTTCTGAACTGTGTAGATTCAATGACTTTGTTCTCTTCCTGTGTTCTCGCTGGTAGTGTCTGAGAGACCAATGCTGCGGTGACCTGATATAGGGTCACCCGTGGCTGCATAGATCTTGACCGCAGTGCTATGTGGGCTCGTAGCAGATGCCACACTAGCCCTCCCTGTGTCCTCTTGACTTTGAGTTTGTTCCACCCTGAGCGCATAACGCGAGAATCGCGCACTTCTGTCGCGTGTTGCTTATCGAGGATATGGCGTGTCGTCTAGTCGCTTCTACGCAGCCCACGATAATTGACGCGTATGACCTTGATCTGTACTGTACGACTTTAACCTCAGCGAGCGCAGCGCAATGCCATGCGCTTCAGAACAGCATCTCGCTGTCTTGGTGTACCATCATTTCCTCTCTGGAACCCCAAGTTTGTCGTTTGCCTAGATACTCCATCCTTCATCTTTACCCAAAGAGATCCATTCCATCACCACCCGTCGTTATTCCTCCAAGCACACCACCTTCTCCCACAACCCTCCAGGCCACCCCGACCTTGACACCCATTCCCCCTTCAACACCCGGTATGTCTTCCCCATCACACGTACCCACCCACCCACTCAGGCTGGCTCTGAACGCGCGTGCGTCCTGCCGTGGTATCCTCACCCAGACACTCCGTTCAGAGATCTTGAGCATGTCGATGGGTATCGCTGTGCCTGTGATACCGAGGTAGGACCGCAGTGAATGTGTGAGGAGGGAGGAGGCTAGGAGGGGTGAGAGGGATGTCGTCGTCGAGTCTGGGGAGGCTGTGGCTGGTGGTATGGCTGCGGTTCCGGGTGTGAGGAGGATGAGGTGGAAGTAGGACCATGCTGTTTTTCGGAAGGTAGACTGGTGGAGGATATGGACTTGTTTTTCTTGGGCGTTGTCTTTGCGTTTGCGCTTCTTGGTGTTGGAGGATGTTGGTGTGGTTAAGTCGAGCTCGGACGTGTCTACGTCTTTGGGCGTGGGCGCGGAAGATTTAGTGTCTGGGTTCGCAATCGCGGAGACTGTGGAGGAGGTTTCGGTAGGTATTGGTGCCATGGTGAGGGTTCGTGAGCGTGCGCGCAACAGAGAGACACAAGTGGGTAGATGTTAGAGCTCCGAGGCATCTGGCGCGAAAGTTTTGGCGGGGTTAATTAGCGCGTTTTCTTACCTCCGGAGGAATGTAACTGGCTGCGTGAGATACCTAGTCAACATTGTGCCCCAATGTTGACTAAGGAGACTCAAGTCAGTTGCTTATTAACTTCATTCGGTTCGAGCTCAGAATTTCTTACCTATCCTTCGTCACGATGAGAGATTTGCAAAAACAATGGAATTCATAGCATGAATTTCTCGCTCGGCGGTCATCGATTAGTCATCATCGAAACAACATCAGCCTTCCTAGCTCAGTGGTAGAGCGCGTCACTAGTAATGACGAGGTCGTCAGTTCAATTCTGGCGGAAGGCATTGTTTTTGTGGAGCGGACTCTGTTGACCCATCGAACGCGTTGCGCAATGAAGCGTTGCATAGCGTTGCATAGCGCAACACACCAATTTTTTGGCAACCCTGAGAATGAATTTTTTATGTGTAGACCGAATCAACAGGCTATCAAAACCCGTCCTAAAAGGCTCTGCAGACTTGCTGCAAGCGATCTATCGTAAACATGAATGGGCGGATGTTAGTGGGTATCAGAAAGGCGGGTATCTGGCCGAGTGGAAATGGGAGTTGGGCGAAAGGTTTCACGAGCACCAAGACTACTGTTCTTGGATTGGGACGTAAGTATAAAAGGGTTACAGCCGAGTGTATCTACTACTATACATGCCCACTCCTCGCCTCTGCCGCTTCCACCAAATTCACACTTGGCGGCTGCCAGATGAGGGCCAAAACTTGACCGATACACCCAGTACCCATAAGGGTATGCCCGATAACGGGACTTTTACACGATAATTGCCCAAGTTAATGGGACTTGTACACGAAAAATGCCCAATTGAATGGGACTGAACACAATAGGATAATGAGAAGGGAACTCGTAGCTCGAAAGCAGAGCTAACATCCAAAATCCATAATCGCAAGACGCAAAGAGAAAGCCGTATGAGGCTGGGGGTATCATATGCTGCTGCAAAGGACTTGCTATCCGCCAGGAAACGCCAGTGAAGTGACCTTTCTGACGTGTATAAGAACACGATACAGGTAGGGTATAAGAGTAAAGTCAAGAGAAAAGAATGTCGAGCTCCGTGGCTGTGATCGAGCGAAGCGGATGCTTACTGCTTGCTCTTGCCCTTGCCTTTCGAATTGCTGGGCTCGCCGTTGTTTTGAAGCTCGCTGTTGTTTTCAAGCTCGCCGTTGTTTTCAAGCTGACCGTGCTTTGGAAGGTAGCAGACCCAATCTAGCTTCAACGGCCCTTTCGGAAGGTTCTGGTTTACGCTTTCGAGGATTTGTTGAACTTGCGCAACGACCGTAATCACAGTGTCCATTATGCCGAACAAGTCGCGGTTCGGCTCAATGTATGCTCTGACTGTGGCATCGAACTCTTTTCGCAGTTCAGCATCCGCCTTCTGGACGTTACTGAGTTGGTCCCGGATCTCAGGCACAGCCGCTTCATAATCGCTCTTGATCTGTCTTAGCTGGTCGGAACATTCCTTGGTCTCTTTTTTGATAGTTGACGCGTTGTTGGACACAATAGCGAAGAGATTGCTGATGGTCTTCTTTATCTCAGCCTCCGCATCTGCGCGCGCCCGTCGCTCGTCGCTTACGCGAAAGCGCAAGTGTTCCAACTCTGTCACGCGTTCAATCTTGTCTTCTTCCAGTCGATTTTGTAGATCTTTAAGCGTATTAGCCTCTTCTGTAAGTTGGCGCTGGATCTCTGCAGTACTGGTGTTAACAATCTGCCCTTTAGAGGTAGCCGCCTGCTTGGTGTCTATAAGTCCTCGCAATTGCGGAGCAATACGTAGAAGACCGTGCAAGCTTTCTGCGTCACGACTCAACGCGATAAAGCTTCCGTGAGGGTCCGCTATCATTTTAGCCGCCTTGAGTTCTTTGATATCCTCAAGGATTTGTGTCAAATTCGGATACATCGTTGTGAACCACGCGACCATGCGCTTGTACATGTCGTCGGTATTTATATTCTCGTATCGGCTTTGTAAGTTGTTCAGCGCGAAAGTGATTCCTTGTAGTTGTTGATTCATTCCTTGTAGATGTTGATGCATTCTTTCAGCATCGACCTTTCTTGACAACGATGTTTGCAGAGCTGCGAAAGCTGTCCTAAGCGAAACTGCTTCCGCTACCATCCCTTCAAGCTGAGCTTGTTGTTGCTGCTGTCCCAAAGTATTTTGTTGTGTCGGCAAGTTCGCAACTTGTCGATTCAGATTGAAGAGGTCGTGGCTGTGCCTGTCTAACGTATTGCTAATGATCTGCGCTTGTTGTTCAACACTTGCCTTAAGTGGTGCGAAGTGTTCGCGGAAGAGATTAGGAACCATCTCTTGTATACTTAAGATGATAGCATCGTGATCTTCGAATTTCTCGTGGAGAGTCTCAAGGCCTTGCTGGGTAACGCTGAGAGCATTCATATCGAACTGCGCTGACGGGGCTGCAGCGGTGTCAGTGGGTGTGACTTCATGTTCGTGCCCCTTGCGCGATGCTCGGATCTCTTCCACGAGGCGGGTTTCGAGCTCCTCCAGATTCTTTGCAGCCTTTTGCTCAGTTACTAGCGTCCTAACTCTCTTTTCCACCGCCTTCTCCACAGTCTTGTCTAAAGCCCTGTCTTCAGTCTCAACCGTCTGTTCCACCGTCTCGAGCGGCCTAGCACTAGCAGAAGATGCCTCTATGCTATCAATCCGCTCCTCTTGGCGATCCATCCGGGAAGTTAGGCTATTCTTGCCTTCCACAGTTTTGCGGAGTCGTTGCAACGACTTGTCCAGCGAGTCGACTTTCGAGTCTAAGTCACCCGTCTCTGGGGTTTTTGCAACAGTAGACGAAGGGAAAACAGGCGTCCCGACTCTCTTAAAGTTGGGACCCTTAGGAGCCCTCTCCAGCTCATCAACACGAGGAGGCAGCTTGTCCAGCTCATCGACACGGACAGCCAGCCTGTCTACATTACGTGCAGACTTCTCCAGCTCACTAAGGCGAACAGGGAGTCTGGATAAATCAGCTTCGGTAAGCGTTGTTCGCAGGGCGGCAACTCTTTCTGATAAGGATTTTCCAGTATCCTTGTAGTCGCTTTTGATTCGCCCAATGTACTTAACGATGTCGTCTTGGTAATCAGAAAATTCCTTCTCAAACGATAAAAGGTCTTTGTTCATGCTCTTCATCTCTTCGCGAATTTCCTGCACCTTGTCAAGTAGTTTGTCGTCTGTGCGTCGCATTTCCTCCAGCTTGTCGTGTATCTTGTCCATGCCACTTGGAGAAAGGTCATCCACGTCATCTTCTAGTTTCTGCAAGTCATCTTCCAATTTCTGCAATTGTCTCTGTAGCTTATCGGCTTTGGAGTATGTCTTTGCATCATTTCCCTCGACAGTCTTGATTCTCTCGTGCAATACCGAAAGCTGGTTAGCAAGTTCCTGCTTATAATTCTCCTTGAAGCTCTTGAACTCTTGCAATCCAAGCTGGTGACTGCGAATCTCGGCCTTATTATTATTGAAATGCTCGGCAAGCTTGCGATCGGCCTCGTCTGTTTTTTCGCTCAAGGTTTTTAAGACGACGGAAGCTTTCTCTTCGACTTGGGCTGCGATGAGGTTATTAATTGTTACTTCAGATACCGCCTTAAGTTGCGCGTCCTTCCATGTCTTCAGTGCGCCAATATCGATCCCCTGTAGTTCCTTCGCAGTCTTCAACGTGGTGATGTCGTTCTCTAACCCGTGAACCTTTGCGAGTGTGCTGTCAAGCCTGCTTCTTATAGAGCTAAGCTCTGATTTGGCAGATACATTAAATTGGTCAGGTTCAGGCTTTGCAGCTTGCCGCGACTCCAGTGTAGCTAATCTTTCTGGCACAGCTGCAAGGTCTTGCAGCCCCTTTGTCAGATCAGGGAGCCCGGTAGCTGAATTTTCTAGTGCTTCCAAGCGTTCTGTTATAGGCTTGGCAGCTGCGTTTACAAGCTTGAAAGTCTCTGTCCTGTCCATTAGGCTAGGAACGCGGGCAGACACGGCCTCTACATCGTCCAGTCTGCGTTTCGTCTGATCATGTTTCTCCTCCATCTGCTTCTTGAGTTCGTTGAGCTCCTTCTCACGGTCACTGATGATTTGGTCACGTTCCTTCTTAAGGTACGCAATGTCCATTGCTTGGGTGGCGAGCTTAGCCTCGAGGGTCTTGCTGACGCCGGCGGTTATTTGATGTGCAATCGCTCTTCTCCTCTCTTTCAGTTTTCGTAAGGACTGCATGGTGATTGGAATGTTGTCCATAACAGGACTTTTTACCTCTACAGGTCGTCGCAGAGTGCTCAAGTCTGTTGTTGGTAGCATAGAAGGAGCAAGAGGGGCATGATGAGTAGGTGTCGATGCCCCACTCCCTATACTGCTCGGAGACTGAACCAGAGTACTCTGACGCCTTTGAGGGCCTTCTGGCCTATACTGGTCAGAAGCTAGCCTCGGACCGGTAGGTACATTTGCAATTCCAGCATAAGAGCTTTTCCTCGATGGTGGAGGGCTCGGTATTCTGGAGCCTGTAGATTTGGCGTACTAATCTAGTGTCAGCACTGGTGATTGAAGGAGTGAGGACTTAGCTGACCCTGTCTTGCAACACCGACCGCCAATCGGGCGGGCGACTCCTTTTATCTGGAGGGCTCTCGCCGTGAGACTGAGAATCTAAGGGCCTTTTGCCGATGCGCGAGCCCACTGGGTCGTTGAGCGCAGGCGAATACATGATCGGTGTTCGAGCATGCGGACTATGTGATACGTTAGTAGATGCATTACATAGAGCTTGGGTGTTGGGTGGTAATGTCGTTGTTGAACAGTCCGTCCTGACCTAGTGTGTTTCAGATGCCAAACGCTTGTAACTAGTGCAGGGCAGTCTGTTGGCTTGAGGACGGTGTTTAAGTAATACCAGTTCAGGTGCGTACTTTGAGTCTTCTACGCTAGTGAAGAATCGCAGTAGAGAAAAAGCAAGTGACAATGACGTGATGGATTGTGATGGAATGTGAGAGGAAATGAGAGCAAGTGAGAGAGCAAGTGAGAGAGCAAGTGAGAGAGCAAGTGAGAGAGCAAGTGAGAGAGCAAGTGAGAGAGCAAGTGAGAGAGCAAGTGAGGGCATGGTATACCTGTCTGTCTGCATACAGTCGCCGTTGGCATTGTCCCGGGAAGTGTTTGTCGAGATAGTAGGGACTTGAGGGCGACTAGCCATGTCGTCGTTGTGTGGTCGGCATGTAAAGTAAGGGTAGGGGACGAGCGCTGAAGCCGCTCCTGCGCACAACCAATACACGGATTGGGTGGCGGAAGCAGCAAGATTGATGAAGACAAAGCGGAAAGGGCAAGAGAGGGAGGTCCCAAGGGCTCAAATAGTCCTAAGGAACAAGGTCAACAGACTTTGGATGTCAATAGACTTTGTGGCTGCTTGTATTGCACGCCAGCAGGGAAGGGGCTAGGTTGGGGATGCGGTCTGGGGACAGTCGCGTCGACGCGCCCAATGCCACTACTTAGCAAACGGAAGACAGCGGGCCCGTGCGTCGTTACTGGAGCTTCCATCTTCGCGTTCGCGATTTATCGCTGTCGCATAACGCCGCGGAAATTACCCACGACAACACATCATCATGGCCATGGTAGGTGAGAGACGTGATTCCCGCGTCACCTGACTGACAAAGCGTAGCCCATCACCACCATCGCCGAGAGCAAGGAGCTCCGCGGCCTCAACCTCATCGCGGCGCATTCTCACATTCGCGGTCTCGGTGTCGACGATGACACGCTCGAGCCCAAGGTATCTTCGCAGGGCCTTGTCGGGCAGGAGAAGGCACGGAAGGCAGCTGCCGTGATACTCAAGATGGCACGAGATGGAAAGATTGCTGGTCGCGCAGTCCTGATTGCTGGCCCTCCCAGTACAGGAAAGACGGCCATCGCAATGGGCATGGCGCAGTCGCTGGGCCCCGATGTCCCCTTCACAATGCTTGCGTCGTCCGAAATCTTCTCGCTGGAGATGTCAAAGACCGAGGCGCTTACACAGGCCTTCCGGAAGTCGATTGGCGTGCGGATAACAGAGGAGAGCGAGGTCATCGAAGGCGAGGTTGTGGAGATACAGATTGACCGCAGTGTCACAGGCGTGAGTACGAGGTTAGTTGTGGCAAGGTAGCGATACTGACTCCAGTGCAGAGCAACAAGCAAGGAAAGCTTACCATCAAGACGACCGACATGGAGACTGTCTACGACATGGGCACCAAGATGATCGATGCAATGACCAAGGAGAAAGTCATGGCTGGTGACATTATCTCTATCGACAAGGCTTCGGGCAAGATCACTAAGCTCGGCCGCTCGTACACGCGCTCCAGAGACTACGATGCGATGGGCATCGACACCAAATTCGTCCAATGCCCAGAAGGCGAGCTGCAACAACGGCGCGAGGTAGTGCACACAGTCAGCCTGCACGAGATCGACGTGATAAACTCGAGGACTCAGGGCTTCCTAGCGCTCTTCTCTGGTGACACAGGCGAGATTCGCAGTGAAGTACGAGACCAGATCAATACCAAGGTCGCAGAGTGGAAGGAAGAGGGCAAGGCAACCATTGTGCCAGGTGTACTGTTCATCGACGAGGTTCACATGCTTGACATTGAATGCTTTTCCTTCGTCAATCGCGCGCTCGAGGACGAGCTCGCACCGATCGTCATCATGGCTAGCAACAGGGGAAACACACAAATACGGGGAACAGACTACAGGTCACCGCACGGATTGCCACTCGACTTCCTTGACCGCGTAGTCATTGTCAGCACCCACGCATACTCCTCGGAAGAGATGCAGCAAATCATCTCGATAAGAGCGCAAGAGGAGGAGGTTGATGTCTCTCCGGATGCTTTGGCACTGCTTACCAAGATTGGCCAGGAGACCGGACTGCGATACGCAAGCAACCTAATCACGACTTCCGACCTGATACGCAAGAAGAGGAACGGGCCGGAGGTCACCATCGATGATGTGCAGCGAAGCTTTGCGCTCTTCTATGACCCCACAAGAAGTGTCAAGGTAAGTCTCCACGCACTAACCTGTTGGATATCACTAACGCGACAAACAGTTCGTCTCCGATTCCGAACAGCGTCTAATCGGCGATGCGGGCGCCGTCTCCTTTTCGATTCCCAACGGCGCCGAAGCGATGGACGTCTCATAGACAACCTTAACTCAATCTCAACGGCGTACAAGGATTTGGTCTGATGTCTGGTTCAGTGTGTTTGCATAGAGGGTAACCAGTGCCACGGCGTAGCAAAAAGTCTGGAAGTGTAATACCAAATACAAACAGCGTTATTTCTCATGGTACCAGCGGCCGTTTTACTAGTCCATGGCTGCGAGCATGAAGACGCAGGTGCAATCACACTAATAAGGCGCGATAAAAAGGAGACAGCCTTTCTATGTGGTTGTACGATGGTCTGTGCTATGTTAATCTACATCGCACGTGTCGTACATGTCTAGGGAACATAGATTGGCGAACCGCTCTTACGGACCAGCTATCCTCGTACTTGATAAGCGTGTACGCTGATGGCTGTGCAACGTCAAACATGGACGCGCAGGCGTAAAATTGCGCAGATACAAAGGGACGAACTCAGATCCAGGCGCGTAATTGTCATTCGATAAGGGTCGGATTTAAGGCCGAAAAACGATAGACTGCTGACGAGGCCTTGGTTATAGACATTCCCTAGTGAGACGTCCATTCCCGATTGGCGCAGATGCGCATGCGACTTCACTACTGGAGTACGTAGACCCAACGCCGCGACTCGAATCCTCGAAGCAGATATCAACAGTCGGAGCAAGACGAAGACGAAGATATTCATGTTGGGTTGTATTAAGATCTTCAAAGAATGACCCACAAGCCACAGCTGCTCCCTTCTGTGCCACACCAAAACGGCGCGCAACGGCCGGCAGCCGGCATCCGACTTCCGAAACCGCTCAGCATACAAATCTTGGAAAGCTTAACCACGCAACGCCGCGTGTCACTGGACAACGCTTCCTCCCAAGCCTCCACCAAATCCACGATACCCCGGGAAACCGGCACACCTGTAACTGACAAGGGGATAGTGAATGGCTATACGTAGGACAAGGCTGAGGAAGTGGATGATGTGGGCGGCACCAGGCACAGACTGGCAGCCTGTCGCGTGCGCGTCATGAAGTACTTTGACTCCCCTCCCGCACGCTCTGACCCCATGGGTGGCTTAGTTGTTCTTCCTTCTTTCTTATCTTATGTGTGAAGCGTCGCCTGCCATTGCTAGAGGTTCATTGACGTTATTCCCGCCTTCCTTCGCCCCACGCCTGTCGATCGTTCGACTTTGAAAGCACGCGATCTCCTTCCCGAAGCGCTGGTTACTTTCACTCCGTATTGCCTTGGTGTTTTTGATCGATCATAATAGTATCGTACGACAAGTGATACTTCCAGTCAACACCCTTTCGTCGTATTGTGTTTGAGACGACATACCTATCTAGAGAGCCCAGTGCAGGATTCCAAACTCAGCCATGCGCTTGTCGACTTGCGCAGCTGCGCTTGCATCCGCAGCACTCTTTGTTTCCACACTGGCCACACCCACACCAAGTCACAAGCTGCAAAGACAAAAAGTATGGGCGGATCGTATTGAAGAGAGGAAGAATGCAAAGAAGCCTGATACCAAATACTTCCACGAGCCTGGGTAAGCAATCTCCCAGCCTCGCAACTAGTCATTACCACCACAGGAGTTAACAAGCTTCCAGAGGCAGTCTTACTCTCGGCCACTATGACAAGCGTTATTTCAATGGCATCGTCTCAGATGAAGAGCGGACGGATACACAATCGCACATGGTCCGCGCTTATCTGAACTACTTCCGTGAGAACGAACTCGATACTTGGATAGCGCACGGAACATTGCTTGGATGGTGGTGGAATGGACAGGTGCGTTCCGCCTCCGGTGACTTGTGATAACCACTAACGCATGCATAGCGTCTGCCATGGGATTTTGACCTCGATACACAAGTGTCCCATTCCACGCTCATGCAGTTAGGTGCAGAACACAACCAGACGAAATACCATTATACCTCCTACGACGGCACCGTTCAGCGCGAATACCTCCTCGATGTCAACCCGTGGATCTGGGAGCGCGAGCGTGGAGATGGTATGAACATTATCGATGCGCGATGGATCGATGTGCGCAATGGGCTGTTCATCGACATTACCGGACTGAGCGAAACACATCCAGACGAAAACCCAGGACAGTGGAGTTGTAAGAATTATCACAGGTACGACACATCAGAACTGTATCCCATGCGGGAAACAATGTTCGAGGGCGTCCCGGCGAAGGTACCTTACAACTATGACAAGATACTCGTGGATGAGTACAAGGAGAAGGCTTTGCTGGAAACGGATTTTAATGGGTAAGTCGACCTTCATGTCTGCAAGGGAAGCCGTAACTAAATATGCATAGACACCGATGGGATGCCAACATCAAGGAATGGGTAAAGTCACCAGAGACACTGGCAAAGGAAGAACAAGAACGGAAGAAGAAAGAAGATGAGGAGAAGAAGAAGGTGGAGGAAGAATCCAAACTAGATGTGAAGAGAGTGGAAGAGTCCAAGCTGGAGTAGTATTCCAGCTGGCCGTAATGCTGGGGTGTGGTGCTTGATCGTCTCATGTTGGATTACGACATAGCTTGGGCATCGCCAGCGTATGTTTCTAGTACAAGATTTATTGATACCCGTTGCCGGTGGCGGTTGAGTAGTGCAAACAAGCAATTGCTGATCATGATATTAAGCGAGTCGTTTCGTTTGCGTTTTGATACCAAGATGCGCGAGCATGGAAGACCTTGGACGGGCCGATGATGGCGGTGATGAATAGTGAACAGCGCCTGGGCATCGGAGTTTAGTGATGACAAATTCCGATGGCGACCCGGGCGTCATCTCGTGGAAGCCTTGGAGAACGTCACCGAAACAACGATGGCTAAAGCTCAGCCACATGCTGCGAAGCTTTATATCTTGATCTACCACTAACCCACCACTTACACCGTATAGTAGATTATACTCAGGAACCTCGTATCGCCTCAACGCCCCTCTCGCCGTTTACTACAACAAGACTGCCATGACAGAAGCCGACGCATCCTCTGCGCCAACAACATCCGGCGACGACATTGAAATAACCCTCTCGCACCACGGCAAAGCAATCGCATTACCTTTTGCACAAGATGCCACCATTTCAGATCTTTCAGAGCGCGTCGCGACAGACTTCTCAATACCACCCTCGAACCAAAAGTTCCTCGTAGGCGGCAAAATCGGCCTCCAAAAACCCCCCTTCAAGAATCCATCTCTCCCGCTTACAGAGCTCGTCTCGAAGAAGATAACTCTCATGGGAAGCACATCAGAAGCTGTGTCGTCCCTCAATAACACCATAACCGCCGCCTCCGCCCCCCGCCGCCCCGGCCCCATAAAAGCCGCGACCCCAGCCCGAAATCGAGACTACAAAAAGATACAGGAGGAGGCGCAATATACATTCCACACTTTGCGGCCGTTGCCCTATCTGCCGAACCCGGACCGCTCCCTCCGCTTCCTCGAACGCCTCCGCGACGATGCCGGCATAAAAGCTGCCATGCGAACCCATAAGTTCAGCGTTCCTCTCCTCACAGAAATGGATCCCGCCATGCACACCACAATGGAGTCCCGCACACTGGGGCTAAACAGAAACCAAGGCGAGGTTATCGAGCTACGACTTAGGACGGATGCGTACGACGGATATAGGGATTACAAGACTATACGCAATACACTGTGTCATGAGCTTGCGCATAATGTTTGGGGGCCGCACGATAGGAATTTCTGGGAGCTGTGTAAGCAGATTGAACGGGAGGTTGCGAGGGATGATTGGAAGAGTGGAGGGAGAAGCGTGGGGGCTGAGGAGTTTTATAATCCTGATGATGATGGGGAGCAGGTGCATGATCATGGGGGGTGGACGGGTGGCGAGTTTACCCTGGGGAGTAGTGGGAAAGAGACCGTGGTTAGTAGTGCTGGGAGTGGAAGTGTACATGCTGGTGCGTTGAGTAGGAGGGAGGTGCTTGCTAGAGCTGCGGAGGAGAGGTTCAAGAAGACGAAGAAAGCGGAGGATGAGGCCAGTGGGAGCAGTCAGTCTTGAGCATGTGGTTTTGTTTAGAGTTGTGCATGCGCGTATACCCCGTCGAGTGCGTATGGTTGGGTAGATGTAGGTGCTACTACTTCGTTTCTTATATCGTATCTTGCTCTCAACATTCAAATCGCCTCGTGTTCGCTCGTCGCGTATCGGCTGTTCATTTCTTGCGATTTCTTCTTTTTTCGGCCAATAGCATAGCTGGTCGGCCCAAGATGTCGATCCGCAGGTTCGGATAGGAGGAAGCTATATAAGCTTTTACCCCATCTTCCCCAGCCCTTAGCGTGCCACCAGCCAAATCCACACCCGACGGTCTCCGCGTCTCCGTCACAACCTCACTTATAGCATCTATCTTGTTTGCAGTACTTCTGTTCTCTTTCTCAAGCACTGACACTTATATATCCATCTATACTATAGCATACTTCTTCGCTCAGCATCCATCATCCTCATGGGTTTCTTCGTCCCCCTGGCCCTCCTTATAGCAGCCGTTTGGTGCACTGTCGGCATCCTCCTTGCAAAATGGCTCAAGCAATCTGGTCACGCGCGGCCTTTTAAAGGAAGAACTTTCAGCAGCAGGGAGTTGTATGGTGGTGGTGTGGGGTATGGGAGAGTGGAGAATAGTTTTGGACAAGGAGCGGCGAGTGAGGGGAGAGGGCAAGAAGGCAGGGAGAGGGGGGTCGGTATTCCTCTGACAGGGGTAGGAAGGGTTAAGGGTGTTTGATTGGAGACGGAAGAGAAGGTGCTATGCGAGCATAGGCGATAGGTATGGTGCCTGGATGCTCATGTTGTGTTTCGGATGGCTGACACGCTACAGATGATCAACGTACAGTTCTGGCTCCTGTGGTGTCGTGACTGGATTGCTTAGAGAGGTAGTCGTTGTTGTCGCTGCATCTCCGATCAATTGGTTCCTATGTTTCGCATTCACTTCGGGTGTGTGGGTTTGTGCGTTTGTACATGGCCGATCACGCATTCATTTTCAACAACAACACCAATTTTACGTCATTCTCTTGGTTCTCCAGCCAACTAAGGCATTCAAATTTCTGCCTGGAAGATATCACAACACGCGCGTCGAGCCTGCACGTTCCTCCGATTACCACATCCTTTGTCTATTGCTCTTCTAGCCTGAATACTACCGGAATCAGACTTGCATTGCGCATATCAACAGCTTTGAAGTAACATCCTGCTTGATTGCTGCTGCTTTCCTATATACAACCTTTCCACCCATCGAAGTCGGTAGCTTGGTGCTTTACACCACTGTGTAATTCCAGTCTCCTGCAATTGCGACGTAAACAGACATCAGACACCAAATCGAGCACCGCTACCGCTAATCAACACACTGCATCCATCTAAAGGGTTACACAGCTCAGATTGAGTCGCGAGAGTCCTGCAACACTTACAACTTATCGTTGCCTGCTCTTCACTGCCACGCGAACTCCTAGAAATCGACTACAATATGCTCGGCCATCCCAACACCAACGCTGCTTCGCTCATCAGCCTGGATTTTACCTCAAAAATGGCGTCTGAGACGGCTAAGTTCACCTTGCTCACACAAACCACTACCACGATGTTGTTATCCAAACAAACTCAGGCGACGCAAGCCGCGCCTCCTCTATCCTCCATTGCGAGGACCCTGACCCAATACTTCTTCGGCGAAAGCACACTCCCTTTCTACCTCCAGCCATATGGACATCTACTGCTGGGTTTCACAGGAGGTGCAGCTGCAGCGACAGCTCTGTACAGCTTCTTACAACGTAACAAAGATGACCGCAAAAAGATTCAACTGGCCGTCTTCCATGTCGTGCGTGTTCTGCAAAATCTTCCCAACCTGGAAGAGCGCATGCAGACGCCAGAGAAGCTTCTTGCTATGATCAGCGAAGAGGTCAACTATATGATCGGCATTCATCTAACTCAATCGGAGGGCGATGCCACTATATCGCAGGTCAAGCGCAAGGTTGAGACGGATTTTAATGCACGTCTGCAGAAAGACGTTGTGAAGAAGCGGAGGATGGACAGTGCAGCGGTCGAAGACGAAGATGACGCACTGTTCGATCGTCCTGGGGAGGTTGATGTACAGGCTACTGAGGCGCATGTTGCTGTCGACGTACTAGGGGTTGTCCTTCAGTCGCCTTCCTCTTCAATTGAACGCAATGGAAACACGTCTCAGGAGCTGGACTTATCCCATGAGGAGGACCTGGACCTGGATATGAACATGCCTGATTACGACAGTCACTATCAAGCCCAGATGCCATTTTCGTACAAAAAGCCAGTAAATGAGCGGTCGCTACCCGCATCACCTGGTTCCGACTATGACTCGAACGAGTCTTCACCTGTTCTAGCTGCACGGCCTTCAAACCCAACCACTCGCCATAGTTATGGTGATGCGTATGAGAGAAATGACACGCTTGCTTTACAGCCATCAAGGCTTGCCTGTCCTCGTGGCAACGTCATCTCATATGAGGAAGACTCAGAGTCAACTCTCCAACCATCCAACTCCACACCTCGTCGCGACCAAGTGTCCTCATTCGAACACACAGACACGCCACGACCGAAGATCGCTCGGAAGGTCAACGATGGTTCTGGCAAAGACAATCACAACATCTACTCTTCTCCTGCTTTCCAAAAGAAAACCCCACCTGTTGATGAAGCGCCTTTGACATATATCATCACAAAGGATACTCCTGATCGTTATGAGAAGCCACGCGTACAAAATCGCCCCAAGACAGCCGTGAAGCCCCGAAGCACAACTTCACTCCATCGGCCACCTAGCACGATAGCCGTGAAGACGGAAGGCGCGGTTGACGGGACTTGGCTTTTCCCCATACGAGAAGGTCTATCACCACATGTGAGCCCTGCGGTGGACACCACACAGTATCGTGTTGCAGAGAGTCGCAAGCTTCACAAGAATCTTGAAGGAGAAAGAGAAGACCGCCGCCGCTTCAAGAAATGGATTCTAACAGATGTGGCAGTGCAGGAGTCTGATGAGGAGAAGATCTCGAACACGGTACGAAAGGAAGAGAAGCTCGAGCAACCAGCCCGAGGCGGAGTTGATGAGACTCTCCAGCAAGTTCTTGACTTGCACGCCACTGCGGAGGGCTTGACGAAGAGTTTTGCACAAGAGTATGCCCAAGAATCCGAGGAAGAGAAAGTGGATGTGGGTGACACTCTGCCCGATTTTATATCAATCCACTCAGATAGCGACGAGGATGGTGAGGGATTCATTGCATCCTCTCCACCCGGACCTGCAGACTCATCACCATTTCATGAAGACGTAGAACTACCGTCTAGTCCCTCTCCCTTACCCACCACAGCTGCTTCACCAGCATTCCGCCAAGCCTATTTACCGTCTGTAGCTAAGTCTTCTACACCGGATTCGGCGTCATCACACGACTTCCCAGTACTTGCTGCTGGCTCGTCACCCAAAAGGGTAATTAGAAGCGCGGCTCCAAGCCCACCAGAAATCCCTAGAGGTAGCCCTTCGAAAGCGACCCAGCCACTCGAGGCACCGCAGACACATGTAGAGTTCAAGACTCAGAGGGCGGGTCGTCCCAAGAACGTGACGAGGGCGCCTGCCAGGTCGAAGACTGCGCAGACGCCTGGAACACGGAAGAGCGCGAGGGTTGCAGCGCGGGCTCAGGCGGAGGGAAAGTAAATGTTGGATGTTTGGGAGGACTACAGGGTACGGGTTGAAGTGTTTACCAAGAGCTCAGACGCATTGGTATACTTTAGTTTGTCTTTTGGGCGTTGCCATTGCAATACCCTTTTGCGTTGTATTCCTCTAGCATGGCGAAATGATTTTAGCGTCTTTTATAAGGTAGGTAGATTCGCTCACGTCATACTGATGGGCTTCACGACGGGGATGCACATGCATATAACTTTGTAAAATACGATATGTTCATCATTTCAATCCAAATTTGGACATCTACTTCCCACCGTTCTCCAAATGCTCCCTAATCTCCTTCTCTTCATCTCTGGCCAACACACCCCCATTCGTCGGCTGCACGGCCACAACAGAGCTCCTCCTCCTCTCTGCATCGTGCGCCTGCTCTGTATCCGCATAATCAATGAGCAGCTCGCCCTTCTTTCCGTACCGATGTGGCAAGTCGTGCGCAATGCCAACGACGTTGAACGGACCCGTTGCCTTGTGGAAGATCTCGTCCATCTCCTCGAGGGAGCGGTACGCGGTTTCCGGGAAGAAGAAGTATACGGAGGGCACCATTGCGGCGTTAATAACGGCGAAGATGATGTAGGTCTGGTAGCCGATGTTTGCAAATGCAGGAGGAGTGATCATGACGACGAGGAAGTTGAATATCCAGTTGGCGGTGGTGGAAATGGCGTTTGCAGGCGCACGAATGGACAAGGGTGTAATCTCTGCGGGATACAACCATGTCATGCCTAGCCAGCCAATGGCGAAGAAGGAGTTGAAGACGAAGAGGAAGACGGTGGCGAGGAGACCCAAGCTCGTGTTACCAATGTTGCTGGTTGCACCTGCTAGGACAGCCATGGACATTGACATGCCGGCCGCACCGAACATCATCAAAGAGCGACGTCCAAACTTCTCGATTGTGAAAATGGCAATCCAACTCGCCATCCAGTATTCTGTGCCGTTACATGCGGACAAGAGGCGACTGAGGAAGGGCGAGAGACCGATGGAGTTTTCGAAAATGGTTGCGGCGTAGTAGGTGACTAGGTTGATACCCGAGATCTGTGGTCTTGGTCAGTTACTGCTGCATATCGCTTCTGAGCTGACAAAACTTACTTGTTGGAACATCTGGTTGACATACGCCAACACTGTGCGGTGGAAGTTGCGGTTCTTGTTCATCTTGAAACAATCTCGGAAACCACCGCGCGACATTTCCAGAGTGACGTCCTTGACAGCCTGGAACTCCTCTTGGATTCTCTTGTCATCCTGAGGCAGATCGCTCAATGCAGCCAATACCTCCAAAGCCTCCGCCTCTCGGCCCTTGAGCACCAGCCAACGTGGACTCTCAGGAAGACCGGGGATCATGACGAGAATGAACAGGGCCAGAATAATCTGGAAAGCAATCGGGAAGCGCCAGGCGATGCTGCTCGGTTCAAGGAAAGAGAACCCCAGATCGAGCCAGTAGCTAAGCATGACACCGAAGACAATCATCGATCCTTCAATCATGACCATTTGACCTCTGCGATGCGGTTTCGATGTTTCAGACTGCCATGTGGGAACTGTACTCGTGTTCATGCCGTTTCCGAAACCGGTGATCCATCGTCCGACAATAAGTTGTGCAAGACCGTAAGATGATGTTTGGAGGATGGCTCCTACGATCATGATGGCGCTGCCGATGAAGATTGTCTTCTTGCGTCCGAGCATGTTGCCGAGCCAGATGGTTGCTACGGCGCCGAAGAAGCAGCCGAGTGTGTAGGCACCGACCGTGATGGCCTGGATGGTTGCAGCATGGCTTGTTGAACTGCCTGGCGGTGGGTTGACGCTGTCGATTTCGGGAAAGTATCTGATGAATGAGCCCAGGGTGAGCAAACCACCCATTACACCTTGATCTATTCAAATGTTAGGTCGTGTATTGTTAGTGAATGGCGTAGGCGCTTACCATAACCGAAGAGTGCGAAATCTGTGCCTGCAATAATAGCAATGGCAATGTTGAGCTTAGTGCCCCGGAGGCCGTAGAACTTGCCCATGTTGTATAGTAATACCAGTAACCAGTACGCGTGTTGCGTTGTGACAGATCAAAGGGACGTCGCAAACAAACAACGACAGAGGCCAGCTCGCTTCCCAAACTCGTGGCGAGGTTTGCGATACGATGAGGTATGACAGCAGGCGCGACGACGCTCTCTTTAAGAAATGTCGCGTCTCTACTGCCACCAATGTAACAGTAGAGTCCGACCTCAGTCCCCCATCCTAGCAAATAACGCCGAACCGCGCTGCCCTACCGGCGTCATCCCCACAGTTTGCTTCGACGATGACGTTTGGTCTGGAGCCGCTGATGATCCCAACCCCGTGGAGTTTGGCGTGCGGAGAAAGACACACTACACGATCGCACGGGGATAACAGGGTGCGGCCATGTCATTGGTTGCCTTCACTCCGCATCAGCACTGTCCCCCCAGCACCGCACTCAAGTCACCCCAGTTGACTCGTTTGACTCGAATTGCCCACCGGGATTACTAGATTAGGCTGTCCCGGCGCATTATGATGTCGGCAATGGGAGGAAAAGTTCGCGAGGCGGTGTTTCGCGCCGCGGCGTTGTCCTTGCTAGCTCTGGGGTCAAGCATCGCGAAGCCCCGGGTTAGTCCGATGCTTCGGCGCACGTAAGAAATTGCTTGGGCGGCTTGCCAAAAAGCGTAGTCCCGCCTGTTAGCCCTCGTAGTGACAACTGCCTAAAGAACCTCGTGTCGAAGCAGCGGGAAGCCCTTATACCCAGGTACCTGGTGGTGTTGAGGTAGGTTTGCCGCTCACAGGTTGAAACAGCCTGCGGGATTATTGATCATCAGGGACAGGGTGCGCCAGCCACGCGACAAGACCAAGTTTTCTCGGATCGGAACAAGACTGTGGAGCCGATGGCTTGGAGGGAGGCTTCTTTGTGGAGAACGCGTGATTGAAGCTGCGCTGGATTGCATATGAGATCCTTCCAATACCTTCCTAACACGCACATGGAGTAACACTAACCGCAAGCAACCATGTGACATCGCGATTCTGTTTCAAATGCCGCGATATTTTCTATCAAATGCCGCTAACGTTATAGTGGGTGTCTCTTTCACATGCACCAGACTGGGGCGATGATGCAAGCAGTTCTCTACTTCACGATACACGCCCAAAACCTGTTCAATATAAAAGCGACGAAACAGCGACGCAGAGTCATGCCAAACCATTTTTCTTTATGTTGTGACTAGCAATTCCACCAGGAAAACTGCCCGGGCAACGCCTTGACACCTAAGGTTCCCAGGCCGTACGCTCGGTCTCCACCATCTCGTCAACCGCCGACCCTGCAAAACGAACCGGTCTGATCATCCCGTTCAGGTCGGAGGTTGAAGTCGTTGCCTTGGGCGTCTGTAGATACTGGTTGGATACAGCTCTGACAGGAATAGTGGCAAGCTGCGCCGAATCATCTCCGGCAGAAGATGGAGCAGCAGCAGCAGCGGCCGCAGTAGAGATCGTTCCACGTCCAATCATCTGTACTCGCTTTCTCTTCCATTCAGCTACGATCGTGTTTGCCCTAGTATCATTTCGCTTCCAACGAGCCATCTGTTTGACCCTTCTAGTGGCCATGCCAATACTAGCGGTCACTGGCTCGACCATGCCCATACCGACGTAACACTCGACCTCCCACACAGGCCTATACCTGTTGCCTAAAAGTCCCAGGGTTTCGTCATCTTGCTCCGTTGTATCATAGATTGGTCGCTTGAGAGGGTCAGTGGACGCTTCTACAAACTCACCATATTCTTCGTCGTCTGGCTTTGCAGTCTCGGTCTGATTAGCGTCTGATGTAGTAGAAGGTTCGTCCAACGGATTTACAGATGCCTCTAGCTCAATAGAAGGATTGGACTGTGAAGCAGAAGATGCATGATCATTACCCCAAGCGTTCTGTACAGATTCAGCTTCACTGACCGCATCCACGTCTAGCACATCAACCGCCAAAAGATCGGATTGAGTCGGTATCGTAATGTTCATGTCGGTTGATATGTCAGTTGATTAGAGACCTGCACGTGCAGAGACAGAGAAAGAAGTTCTTCTTGAATATCGTAGTATTCAATTTCACTTTGTGGGTCATCGTGAAAACAGGCAACATTGTGATTGTTGCGCCGTGGTCTCACGAGCCTCCGAAGTGATTCTACATGAAGCATCGAAGCATTGTATGAAGAAATGGTATCAGACCGAGAATCGCTAGAACGTGCGCCTCTGGCGCGAAGACGAAACGCTTTTCCTGAGGCATTGGAACGTGAACTCCACATCCCATCGATGAACGCCAATAGTGTAACCATACTAAAGGTATTATACGCGCATAGCTTCTCTCGCAGCAGGCTCTCTCTCCATCTCGTACTCGATCTCGCGTCTCGGGCCCTTTGAATCCTTTGATGGCTTCTTCTTGGGCTTTGGAGGCGGGCCAGCAGGACGCTTACGCTTGAGGTTCGCCAGCGTCTTCTTAAGAGCCTCTGTGTCTTCGTCTTCAGATGCCTCTTCGTCCTCGTCTTCTTCGCTACCACTTTCATCGTCTTCGTCACCTGAGCCTTCGTCTGGACTCTGGCCACCTATCCAGTCTTCGAAGTCCTCCAAGTCGTCGTCGGATTCGCCTTCTATGTCGCTCACATATTCGACTTCACCGACACCGTTCTCCATCTCGTATTCATTCTCTTCCTCTTCGTCTTCGATACCCTCATCCAGGTCCTCGTCGCCCTTGAGCTGGCCTTCTTTTTGTAGACCGTTCATAACACGCTTCCAGACGTTCGGTTCCACGTTGATCCTGCGTTCGAGTTAGCCTCGATCTCATATAATAAGTGAGTTAAGTCTTGGTGTTGTGACTGTGCTCATTAAAAAATTAGAGTGTTGTTGTTGTTTTTAGTCCTCATCGTAGGACTCAGGGTTAAAAAGCAAAAATAATCATGGCAGCTGTGGGGGAAGAACGGGTGTAAACTTACGGTCGATCACCATATGCGCCACTGCGCAGACGGTCAATGAGGACTCGCTCAATGGCGCGCTCAACCTTGGCAGCTGCAAGAGCCTTTCGCTCTCGACCTTCCTCTCGTCGGCGAACCTTGGGCGCCAGTCTAGGAACCAGGCGTTCTCCTAGGCGCTCTTCTTCCTTGGCCAACTTCCTTATTCTTATGTTGACCTGGGTCAGACGTGTCAAGCGCTGCTTGTTCTTGTGCTTGAGGAACTTGGGGAAATATGCAAGATGTTGGTCGACAAGCTCGAGGGCTTGGCCGTAGTTCTTGGGTAGCTTTATCTTTTCCCACCATTGCGACGGAAGATGGGCGCGTTCGATCGCTTTGATATACAGGTATAGATCTCCGGTCGCAGGATCTGAGCGAATCGTGGCATACCGTGAGTTGGCGAGAGGGCACGACTGCTTGGAGCAGTAACCCGATACGTTGTGTTCATTCCTGCAGAACGTCTGGTCCTTTGTGGTCTTGAGTTCTGAGTGCAAAAGGTTAGCGTTGATTGACGTATACATGCTGGTATGTGGGAATACTAACTGAAGCTGCAAAAGTCAGTTCCAATGACGGACCATACAAGGTCATCTGAAGCCATGGCGGCGTAAGAATTCTTTCAGCCTCGCTGCAAAACAAGTGAGATGCTTGGCGGCGGTAGTCCTGTGACTAGGGGCGAAAACAGCAAAAGGACTTTTGAGGGGAGTGAGGTTTTCGCTGTTGCGCGAAAGGAACAGGTGTTGTCGTGAGAAGGTAGACAGGCGACGATCTCAAGAAATTATTATCTTAGCGTGTGCACGGGCCACTGCGGAGGTGCAGCGGAGCTATCACGGCATCCTTAATTCCAACACAACCATGATGTAGAACCTCAGCTTGCGGAATGAGAGCCATTGTCTCATCCCTTCGTCGCAATGCTCTTAGTCAATTGAGAGCACTCAAGCTGCCGGTCTCCTGTCGTACGCGAACCACATGGCCGCAATGTGGACCCCACCATGCTGTTCAGCGCATCTTGAAAGCTCCCAAGGAGCGCCTATACCATACCAGCCATGAGGAACCAACCATCTATGCCCTATCTACTGCCAATGGACGCGCAGCCATAGCTGTAATTCGCGTTTCAGGGTCAGCATGTAGACAAGTCCGACTCGCGTCTCCACACACTATCGCAATGCTAACGCCTTTTAGATATATAAAGGACTATGTCCCTCCACGTCCTTCCCAAAGCCTCGATACGCGACCTTGCGCAAGTTGTATGCGCCTGGCTTACCTCCTTCACCTACAACGATACTAGACTCCGGTGCTCTGGTACTCTACTTCCCCGCACCCAACACAGTGACTGGAGAAGATGTCCTTGAACTGCACGTACATGGAGGTCCAGCCATTGTACGCGCAGTCTTGGCAGCCATACCAGAATGCGCAAAGGCATCGGAAGGTCTCGAGTCGATGCGCAAGCAAATTCGGTACGCAGAGCCTGGAGAGTTCACTAGACGCGCCTTCGCCAACAACCGGATGGACCTTCCCCAGATTGAGTCGCTGGGAGAAACACTGTCGGCTTCGACGGAACAGCAGCGCACTATCTCTGTAAGGGGTACCAACTCTTCGCTAGCCCTACGATATGAGCATTGGCGCATGTTGCTGCTGCAGGCACGAGGTGAGCTGGAGGCCTTGATTGACTTCTCGGAAGATCAGCACTTTGACGAATCACCCGCTGTCCTATGCGCCAATGTCGCAGCTCAAGTCCGCGCCCTGCAGGTGCAGATGGAGCTGCACATTGCGAACGCTGTTCGTGGAGAATTGTTGCGCAATGGTATCAGTGTTGCGCTCCTTGGGGCGCCCAACGCAGGCAAGAGCAGCTTGTTGAACCGTATTGTTGGAAGGGATGCCGCTATCGTTTCACAAGAAGCCGGAACAACACGGGATGTGGTTGAGATAGGGCTAGATCTTGGCGGATGGCTTGTCAAGATTGGAGACATGGCCGGTTTACGTCGGCCTGGTGTCGCAGGTGCGGATATCGTTGGGCCTGTGGAACAAGAAGGCAT